CTGCGAGCGCCAAAAAAAGCGGGCCTTTTAAAAAAGCAGGCGGGAGGAGGGGAAACGGATCAAAAAGCAGGGGTGTCCCGCCAAAAGCGGGACGTCTGGTCACCTTACTTTTAGAAGAGTCTTGGTTGAATGGAAATACAGGCCATTCCGGAAAGCAGCAAAGGTTCTTGTCAGATTTTGTTGCAGAAATCACATCCAGAAAGCAGACATAGATAACTGATTTAGCAGGATTCATTAACTTCTTTATATACATAATAATGCCTAAGTAAATGTACAATGCCAAGAAGCAGGTTTTTCCAACATGGTAGAAAGTAGAGAACAGTTTGGATGAGTTTCAGTTTCAATTCAGCAGAGAGACTAGATTAGTGTAGCTTCTCAGCACAGACTCAGATGTGAGCAATGCCCAGACTCCCTACTGCCTCCTGCAAATACTGTTTCAGTTTCCAAAACAGCCCTCATTGACTGACCTAGTTACTATGCCTATTCATTGGCTGACTTTGTTACCACGCCTCCATTTCAGTTCATCAATATTCTGACAGTGCTGAAGAGTGTTTTCATAGGTTAGGAACAACTCAAGAGGTAGTTCTCTCCTAGCATTGAAAAATGGACCTTGGAACCTAAGCCTTATTCAAGAGAATATCTGTTTAAAACCCCTCAGTTTCAATTTCTCAAGCAATGTGGCCCATTATATGACCGTGTACAATTGGATAGCCGCATTCCTGTCAAACAGGCAACAAGTAGTCAATATAGGGAGTTCCCTATCAAACCTTGTACCAGTCAACTGTGGTGTCCCCCAAGGCAGCGTTTTAGGACCCGAACTCTTTCTGCTTTGCATAAATGACCTTGCGATTGTATTATAAGCAGCTGCGTCCTCTTCACTGATGATGTAAAACTATTAAACACCACTGACAATGCTGATGTCCTACAAACTGACCTTGATAATGTGTCAGAATGGTCACACAATTGACAACTCCAAATCTCAACTAACAAATACTCTGTCTTACCATTGGCATCAAAAATCAGAACACCAAATACAAGCTGGCCGAATACGACTTTGTAGATGATGCTCACTCTGTCAAGGACCTAGGAGTACTCATCTCAAACAATCTAAGTCCCAGAGCTCACTGTAACTCCATTGCCAAAAAGACATTAAGAGTTCTTAACCTAAAAGCTTCTTCTCCGGTAACATTGTACTGCAAACTAGGGCATACAAAACCTTTGCCAGGCCAATTCTCGAATACAGCTCATCTGTATATCGGACATTGTATATCGGACATTAATACAATTGAACATGTCCAGAGGTATTTTAGGAGAAGACTATTCCACTCCTCTGCTCACAAAAGAATCCCTTATGCCACCAGGCTCAAAATTTTGGGCTTGGACAACCTGGAACTACGATGCCTATGGTCTGACCTAAGCATACTACACAAAATTGTCTGCTACAACGTCCTACCTGTCAATGACTACTTCAGCTTCAACCTCAATAATACATGGGCAAACAATAGATTCAAACTCAAGGTTGACTGCTCCAAACTTGATTGCAGAAAATACGATTTCACCAACAGAGTGGTCAATGCCTGAAATGCTCTACCTGACTCCGTTGTTACATCCTCAAATCCCCATAGCGTCAACCTTAAACTGTCTACCATGGACCTCACGCCATTCCTAAGAGGTCCGTAAAGGGGGCATGCAAAAGCGCACCAGCGTGCCTACCGTCCCTGTCCTACTGTCCCCATTTATACCTGTTCCTCTTGTACATGTCTGACAAATAAATAAAATAAAATAAAT